ACCCCCACCCCAAGAAAGAAAGAAAAATAACAGAAGATATGAAAATTGAAATTACTGACAGAAATCATTTTTTTTATCCACGACCAATCACTATCACCTTATCTTCTAATTAAGTTGGAGAAACAAGATCATTAAATAGAGAAAATTGGAGTTTTTGTGATTTATATCCCCTAGTGTATGTGCTTTTGGGAGATTACACCCTATTCTTTAATTAAAGTTTTGGCCCCAAACATCACCTATAATTTGGACCTCGGATTGTTATATTTTTTCCAAATTCATCTTGGAAAAGGAGGAGGGCAAAAGTAGAAAACGTTGAGGATAATATGGGCTTAAAAGTAGTGTAATTAGTAATGTTGGGTCTTATTTCCATGTAGGGGTGTACAAAGAAAATCGATAAGCTGCACCAAACCGATAATGCAAGTCAAACCGAAAAAAAAAATATGATGTGATTTGGTTTGATTTGGTTTGATATTTAAAAAAAAAATACCGACCATAATTGGTTTGGTTTGGTTTTAACTAAAAAAGGTCAAATCGAAACCAAACCAACCCAATAATACATTTATACAATTTTTAAAAATATTTAACATATAAATATTAATTATAATATAATTTATAAATATTTTTTAAACTTTTTCACAGTTTTATCTTTTAACGTATTATTTCAAGTTTGCACTTAACATTCTCGAATGCTGAATAAATTTTATAATCCATAAATGTAGTAACTCAAACAAAGTTCAAATCAACATTAATGCGAACAAAAGAATTTCAATTCAACACTAGGAATAACGATAGTGTTGGATATCTATTTTTTAATTTTACATTGGTTTATGTAAAAATGCATAACTTAGTTTATCTTTTTCTTTAGTGCTTAGTTATGTAATTAATAGTACTTATTAGCTATACTTTTTTTAGCATGACCTATATAGTATTTTTAGATTATGTTCATTTTTATTATGACTTATTAATTAGTACTATTTGCTTTATGCAATTTTATTATCTTTGTTATTGAATATTTTAGTATAATGTTGTGACTTATCACATGTTATTGTATTATTTTCTTGAAAAATACACTATATTATTGTATCTTACTAGGACTAAAAAAATATTTGGAGTACAAGTTACATATTTTGTGCTATAAAAATTTTACCGGGAAAAAATTCGAAAACTCGAAAAAACCCGAAAATCCGAGAAAATCCGAGATTGAAAAATCCGATTTTGTTGGTTTTGTTTGACTTATAGATTTATAAACCCGAAACCATTGATTTGATTTGATAATTAAGAAATCTGAACCAACCCGACATATATGCATCCCTATTTCCATGCTCTCCTTCTAAGATTTGTGTGAAGAGTAAGAACCATTTTTGGGGCAAATTGCAAAAGTTAAAAGATAGGTGCAATTGCAAAATAATGTATAAAATCTGGGATCAAATCGCTGAGATATGGAAATATTGTAATCTTCCAGAAAATATGGGATTTCTTTCATTTTTTAAATGACATAGAGAGAAAAAGAGAATAACAAAAGTATAGAGTATCAAAATGCTTTTTTCTAGTTATTTATTTTTATTCACACGTGAGATAGAACACTATTGTACTACCTAATATCTACCTTTCACCAAATTTCCAGGTAGAGCGATGAGAAAGCGACCGCTATCAGATTTCAAACTAACTAGGGAAACTACTTAAGATTTGATTCGCATTAGACGAATTTCTTTATTTTAGAAAATATTTTTCACTCATCAATTAGATATTAAAAAATAAATAAAATATATTTCATGAACGCTCCCATAAAAAGATTTTCTATGAAACATGCCCTTGATTCTCACTAAACGATATTTTATTTTCCTTTCTTCTTCTTCTTCTTCTTTTTTTTTTTTTTTTTTGCTAGAGAGGTTTGGAATAGGAAAAGTTCTGATATAAATCGAACCTTGTACATATAAGATGTAAAATAGTAGCTCTATCAATAAATAATTAAATTTCTCCTCAACTCCTTCAATTATATGGAAGACAAGTTGTGATAAATTGTGTCAAATCATGGTTTAAAAAGATACTGGGAGATAATAGTATAAGATTTGGACATGAGGCATGGCTTCTTTAATCAAATCATAAATAGTTACCGACCAAACATCCCCAGATAGACGTGGGCGGCACCAAGACGTAAGCCGTTGAATCTACACTTAGAGGTCGTTTCGTTTGAACACAAATTATGCTGAGATTAGTTATGATGGGATGATATTATTTTCTATTTACTGTTTTATCTTGGGATAACTTATCCCAAAATTAATAACCAAACAAGGGATAAAGTAATACTAATTTTTTATCCTAGGATTATTTTTGCTTATCTATCATACCAAACGACCCCTTAATTCACGATTGAGATTTGCCTCTTCATTAAACTACTAAAATAAGTTAAAATTTGTGATCACACTCATCAGTTATCTTACAAGGCTTAATCTTCTCATTTAATTAAAGAGTAAATTTCACTTAAACCCCCTTAACCTTTAAGGTTCGGGAAACAACAGCCAATAAACCCCTAGGATCTTAAATCAACGGCCAGAACTGAGTTGGATCATTGTATGTACACTCAAAATGTGGAAAAAGTAGCAAGCAAAGCTAAAGTTAGCATGGACTGCCCAGAAAATAGCTTTAGATTTCAGTGTATTATCATGCAACTCAACAACTGAAGGACTACAAACAATTTACATGGGATTTTTATGCAACCAATGGCTTAACCATTCAGAATATCTTCGTGACTTAGAAGATTTTCGACTTTAGACATCAGTGGCGAATGAGGACCAAAACATATAGTTGACAAAAATGCTCCATAGAGTAAGCAGTGAATACTAAGCTGGAATAGATTTACCCTCATCTCTCTGTGATATTGTACTACTTCAAATCCGGAATTTGTTTCCTTTGCATTACCACTTGTAGCATGAGTTGCAAAATGAGTAACAGATGACGTTCTACTCTCGAGCCATCTAAAGTTAATGGGATCCTCGACTACATTCAAGTAACCACCACCTTCCTCAATGAGAAAACCCCAGATTTTTGGTGTTATATCGGTAATACAGTTCAAAAATTCGCTAGTTATCTCAGCAAATTCTGCATTTCGGTCATGAATATTTGCACAAGTATCCCTAAACCTATCAAGTAGCGTGCATTTGCCACAAATTTGACATGACGAAAATATAATTTCTTCAATCTGTCTCCCCTTTGCAAATGAGTTCCACCTTGAGCTTTTGACAAGACTTAGTAAGGTCTCACCAGCAGTCGCCCAAAAATTTGACAAAGGCACAATGAGAGAAGATTCAGATTCTAATAAATGGTGGGTTGCACCAGCAAGTAACAAGGAATATGCTGCACTCTTTCTGCTCATACTAAAAGCTTCGCATTGATGTTTATCACTTTCAGAATCTAGGGCCAGCAGGTCACTTCCAACGACTTTATATGCAGAAGCCAGTGTCATGTAGGCATGCAAAGAGACATGGTGAAGAGGATGCAATCTGAAGAGTTGACGTATGTTTTCACCATTCGGTGTCAGAACAATGTCAACATGATCTTGAGTAAGCAGGATCTCGAGCTTTTCACTACAAGACTTGGGGTTACTAAATGAGAGAAAGTCATCTATAGCATTATCCAAGCAATCCACCAGCTTCTCCATTACAAGATTCCCATCAAAGTTGTCACCGAGATTTGAACTTAAAATTTCCTACAGAAGAAAGTTCATAAGAGATGTTAATGCTTGATCTAAAGGCTTAGATATGTCGTACTTCTTAAGAGATTAGAAGAAGAACAAAGATGTTCAATTTGGTATGATTATTCAAAAGCAGTACTCAAAGTAAAAGAACACGAGATCTCCCAAAAGACAAAAAGAAGAAATGAACAATACGATGGAAAAGTACAAGAGAAAATATATCACCAGATAGAAAGTTTCAGGACTAAATAAATTGTCTTATGCTTAGTTTTGGTAATAATGAGCTCTTCAGTAGTGTAACACCTTGAGAGTTTATTGGTACATTCCTAGATGTGTGTTCGTTCATGTGTAACCTCACCCAACTTTAGAGCTGAAGTCTATAAATTGCCGCTTTTGTAAGGTTATTTTAGAGCTCCTGAAGAAGACTTTGGAGAAAGGCCTCAATCAGGAAATAAAGTTTTAATCACCAATTACCAGATTACGTTCTAGAACTCAATTAACATGAATATTCTGTGATTACCAAACATGATTTGATTATTGTTTTTTTGGTAAGTACCAAACATGAATTTAATAAGGTGTGGAAAATCAAAGGGTGTAATTGAAAACATTCTAAGTAGGAGGTTATAGCAACACGAAAAACGTTGTTTAACAATTCTACGCACATCACTTTTACACCCTTTTAATCAATATTCTCAACCCATATGTTCTTACTTGCAGACAGTGATCTATATAAGTTGTAGGCATTGCGTTACATCGTTTACAGCAGCAACTGAACCTGTACTTCGACCACAACTCTGACTGCCTCATCACCTGAAAGACAAGTAAAGTCACTTGAGAAAAGAATTTGACTTCAGACGAACCTGAACTGATTATGGAATAAAAATTGCTTCTCCAAAAGTTAACAAGTTTAATAGAGGACGTCATGAAAAATAACTTGAAAAAGCATAAAACTTAGTCAACTGCATCATCTCAAAGTACTGGATTTGAAGATTGAGAACAATTTGTTCTTTGAACAGGTAAATAAGTGAAGATTGAGAATAATTTTGGTAAACAATTTAAGCAACAACATAAATAAATCTAACTGAGAACATCACATTGATATTATCCATACCCTAAACAAGCATTGAAACCAGAATGTCATTCTCTGTTACAGGAAAACATACCTAAACGGGCAACTGCACAAACAACAAAAACAAAACTTTCACTTGATTCACGGTTAATACGTGAGCTCAAAAAGTTCCCCATTAAGGAACATTTGAAAAGAAACTGCAACACATTAATCAATTAATCCATTTACCCCGATTGACTGTCTAATTTGACAGGCACAATATTAGCACTGATAAGCTTGACTTATATAATGTATTCTAACGAAAATTGGGTTCAAAAGTACATATAAGTAGATTATATGACAACTTTTAGGTTTTATCTTGGATAAAAGTGGCCGATTTAACTCTTCTGGAGTAGTATAATATTCAGAAAATACTGAATAATGAAGGAATAGATTTCTAGTTTAAGAAAGAGAACATCATCTTTTGGAGGATGAAAAAAGGAAATAAGACAATTTCTTAGGGATGGAGGGAGTACCTTTCAATCAAGATGAGAGTGATCCTAAAATATAAGACATCTGGTTTAAAATTCTCTAGAGTATTTTTTTCCGTTACTGTTTAATGGGGTTTGGTATGTATACGTAAATAGCTGATACTATTGAATCCGAGGAAGCAACAAGCCGAAAAGAGAAACCAGGCTTTGAACTCATCATGTTCAGCAAACATAAGCCGCAGTTCTCTAATATCTTCAACAGTAACTGATGCCTTCATTTCCTGCCATTACTAGTTCACATGGTGAAATGATATCAGGAGGTACGTAATGAAAGTATAGCGAGTTTGATGCTATCATCAGAGAAGGATATCTTGAGCACATGTACATCATTGTTCTGACAGAATGTATGTTGGGCGCCACATGGAATCTTGATCCAAATATTCCTACTCTTACAAAAGTGCACCTCCTTCAAGTCCCAACCCTCCCCTTTAGGTACTCAAAGGTTAGGTAAAAAGAAGAAGAGAACCAACAGGAGCACTCATAGAGATGTGCCTTCTTTTTCTGCATCCTCAATCTTGAAAATCTTAAAAGCACTTGTTAACTCTACTTTTACATGAGTCTAATAACGGATCGATGTCCTCAACAGAAACTCTTTCTCAAAGTGTGGTTTTTAAGGAGCAAGGAAGTCAAGGATTAGGGTTGTAGGCTAGGAGGTAGTTGAGTCTTTACTTTCTTCGTACCTTTGTGAGGCTAGTCTGGTAGGGTTTTTGTCGTAAGTGGCAATATTGTGTCTTACTACTCTTTCGTTTCTCATAGTGCTGGGTCTATTTACTGGCTATCGCTTTTGCGTTGCATCTATCTTCTTGTTCCCATGTTGTTGTTACTTTTATTATGATTTATGGGGTGGTACTAATATTGTCTCTTTTTGTCTTTTTGTCTTTTTGTATTCTTGAGCCGAGGGTCTTTCGGAAACAGCCTCTCTACTCCCTCGGGGTAGGGGTAAGGTCTGTGTACACACTACCCTCCCCAGACCTCACTAGTGGGATTTTACTGGGCCGTTGTTGTTGTTGTTGTTGAAGTCCCATATTTCAAATTTGACAATTGGTGGCTGAACTCTGATTGCTTTGTTGATAGATTCAAGAACTGGTGGACATCATTTGACTTCGCAAGAAAACCTGATTATATTCTAGCTTGTAAATTGACGGTCTTGAAAGGTAAACTAAGGGAGTGGAGCAAAAGCAGCCAAGACAACTTGAAGGCTCAAAAATCAAACCTTCTTAATCAACTGGTTGTACCGGACAGAGTACTAAAAGTCAGAAGCCTAACTGAGGGGGAAATGGTGGAAAAGACATCACTACTGATGAAGTATGAAGAACTTCTGAAGAATGAAGAAGTGACATGAAGGCAAAGGTCCAGGGCCATTGGCTCAAAGAAGGAGACAGGAATACAAAGTTCTTCCATAAGACCAGCAATGCTCACAAAAGATTCAAGAACATTGACTACTTAATGATCCAAGATGAATTAATCACAGATCCACAAAGAATAAAAAATGAGATAGTAAATTTCTACAAAAAACTCACTGAGACTGAAGAATGGAAACCTGCAAGTAATTTTAGGAGTTGTCCAATAATAACTGAGCAAGATAAGAATTTACTACAAAGAAGATTTGATGAACGAGAAGTTTTTGGGTGTTTGAAATTGTGTGCTATGGACAAGGCACCAATACTTGATGGCTTTACAATGGGATTCTTTGTGAAATGCTGGGAGGTGCTTAAACAAGACATCATGGGGGTGTTTCACAATTTCCATTCTCATGGTTTATTTGAAAGGAGTTTCAATGCAACCTACATTGCTTTGATCCCCGAGAAGAATGGTGCAAAGGAATTGAGGTACTTCAGACCTATAAGCCTAATAGGGAGCAATTTACAAGATTATTGCAAAAGTCCTGACCGAGAGGCTGAAAAGGGTGATGAAAAAATTGGTAGATTATCAACAAATGACATTCATAAAAGGGAGGCAAATAATGGATGCCATACTAAAACCCAATGATGCAGTAGACTCAAGACAGAAACAGAAGAAGCCTAGCATCCTTTGCAAACTAGATATTGAGAAAGCATTTGACCATGTGAATTGGAATTTCTTACTAATCATGTTAGAACAAATGGGATTGGAGTGCAATGGATTAAATGGATGAAATTCTGCATATCTACTGTCAAATTCTCAGTCATTATTAATGGTTCTTCGGAAGGATTCTTTCCTACTCAGAAAGGTCTCAGGCAGGGCGATCCTTTGTCACTTTTTCTTTTCATAATAATCATGGAAGCTTTGAACAAAATGATCAAAACAGTCAAACTCAGTAGGTGGATTAAAGGCTTTGAGGTAGCCATGAATGGACATCTTTAATATGCTGATGATACCTTGATCTTCTATGATGCAGAAGTGGAACAACTGAGAGTTTTGAGGATTATATTAGTTCTTTTTTAAGGTATTTCTGGGCTGCACATTAATTGGAGGAAGAGTCATCTCTTCCCGATCAATCAAGTTACAAACATGGAGGATTTGGTACTGATCTTGGGGGGAGAAGTGGGGACTCTCCCTACTACTTATCTGGGTATGCCACTAGCGGACAAGTCAATATCTACTGCAATATGGAACAATATACCGGAGAAATGTGAGAAAAAGCTCTCAAGATGGAAATGTCAATATTTATCATTGAGAGAAAGGCTCACTCTGATTAACTCGGTATTAAACTCACTGCAAACCTATATGATATCCTTTTTCTCATTCCTGTGGGAGTCATTCAAAGGTTGGATAGCATAAGAAGGAATTTTTTGCGGCAAGGTAAAAAGAAAAAAAAGTATGTCACCTAGTCAAGTGGAAAGAGGTAATTCTCAGCAAAGCTCAAGGTGGATTGGGAATTAGAAACTTGAAGAATCACGCAAAGCCCTCAAACTAAAGTGGTTATGGAGGTCTCTCAAGACCCTCAAAGTTTATGGAGCAAGGTGATCAAAGCCAAATATGAAGTAGAAGACATCTGGATGACTAAACTAGTTAACACAGCTTATGGAGTTAGTCTTTGGGGGTCTATAAGGGTATTATGGCCAACTCTAAAAAACCAAGTCTCTATTAGAGTGCTAAATGGTAGCAAGACATCCTCCTAGAATGATAATTGGCGGGCGAATGGAGCTCTGAAGGATTTATTCTCTGACATATATACTCTAGCTCATCACCAATAGAGATCTATAGCTGAAATATGGTCACCTCAAGGTTGGGTACTAATACTCAGAAGAGACTTGAATGATTGGGAGATAAATAGAATAATTGAGTTCTACAAACAACTGGACAACATCGCAGGAAGGCATTCAGAATGAAGATGACACATTGAGATGGCACGGACATAGTAGTGAAAAATTCAGTGTCAATGCAACCTACAAAACGATAAACCAACCAATACCTCAAGTCACCAACTGGCCCTGGAAACATATTTGGAAGACCAACATACCATATAAGGTTGCATGCTTCTCATGGTTACTGGCAAAGGAAATTGTGTCCACACACGAAAACTTAAATAAGAGGAAGTGGACTCTAAGCTCAAGATGTTTTCTTTGTGAAAATGAAGTGGAAACAGTTGGTCACCTATTTTTGCTCTGTAGGATAACTGATCTGTTATGGAAGATCTTCATTAATCTCAGAGGCATAGCCTGGACAATGCCTAGAAAGATTACTGAAGCTCTCTTTAGTTGGGAAGCAGCAGCAGCTGGAGCTGGAGCAGATAACAAAAACAGATGGAGGATGGTCTCTGCTTGCATTTGGTGGACAATTTGGAAAGAAAGGAACTCTAGATGTTTCGAGAACAACAGCAACACAGTGCAAAAGATCAAACTTAACTGTATTAAGCTTTTTTGTTTTTGGTGCAAGCAGATCTACCCAGAGGATACTGTATCTATCTTAGACACATTAGGTTCATGTTAGAAATGTAGACTGGTTTACTCTTTTTGCTCACTTGTATATATGGTTTCAGTAAAACCCATGTATTGTTTTGTGTTTAATACATAAAACATGTTACCTTCTCAAAAAAGAAATTGGATGTAAGGATTAAGATCGAGACATAGATAGAAGCATTTTCAACCATAAACTACATATATATACCTACTTCTTGGAGGTCATCATTGCATTTATTATCCATAACGTAAATTTATTACCATCAACAATGTTGTGTTTTTGCTTATAAAGAAATTACCACCAATCTGAAGGCAACTAGTTCCATAATGTCCCAAATAAAGAGAAAGACAAATAGTGAAAAACATTCACCTTATCCCTACTACAAGACCAGGAAATTATGGACATTTCCTACTATTTATCCAGAATAATAATAGATGCACACGATCCAACTATTTCATTATCACCATACAATCCCTACATTGCCATTTTATAAACAAAAATTCCTGGTCAAGAGAATCACTAGTTTGTTAGCTAACTAGCATGTTGAAGCCCCTCTGCTGGAACACCCTGAGTCATTACTTGTAAGTACCTTCAAGGTTAGGAGACACTTCGAAGTAACGACACTCGGAGTTATGAAATAGCAAATCAACTCTGGAAGTACATGATTATTTCAACCATTGAAGAAAGCATATAATCAAACTTAGCATTCTTTAACTCGCAAATTGTTTTGCCACTATTTAATTTGGGACACAAAGTACTCCTCCATTTAATATACATAAAAAAGTACTCCTCCATTTAAGATATCTGGTCATGATTTGACTTGATGCAATTACTCAGTGAAAGAGGTTGTAGAAATGTCAACATGGATTTGTACTCACTTTCGGTAGTCCTCAGTATTCAATTCAATTTACATAGTTATCCCAAGAAGCTATAAAATAGGCAAATTTCAGACTCAATGAACTTATTACGGTCTAAGGACATAGAAGGGCAGAGCGGGAGCTCTTATCTCCAGGTTGCACATTACTTTTTTTTAATAGAACACTTATCAAAAGTTTTGTTAGACACAGTTCTATCCTCATAAAACATAAAAGTTACAGATAGTAAACATTAACTCATCTCTTGGATGCTCCTTCCAAAATACACAATCAGAACTTTGTTTAGTTAGCTCCCAGTCAAACTACAATAATATAGAAGGAAACGAAAAAGTTAACTTATTTGTCATCAGTTATTGGCGTGACATTATTCAATAAAATGACTCAGCTGTCAAATGAAGAAGAAGTCAAAGACTAAAATCGACAAATTAATGACTATCGTCAACGAGCAACATAGTCGAGGATGCGTATATAAGAAAAGTAGTCAAGTGCGTTGAAGCCCTTTTGCCTGAATAAATCAAATTTGGAGGTCCCAACTAGGTCGTTCTCACTACGTATTATCATGCCAATAGGATAATTTTTGACTTCTCTATCGTGGCTGTAATATTTCTCTAAACACACCTATGAAGGAAAATCTATCTTTGAGCAATAGAAAATCCAGAGAAGTGGAAACGCGAGCAAGTAGAGTTGGCACCAAAAGAATCAAATGTGAATAGAGCAGTTTCTATATGATAAAGCAAAAAATGGTACTAGAAAGTCAGAGCCAGCTGCAAAGTAAAGCCCTCCTGGAAGGACTTCATGAAAACATTAGTTGTAACAATCTAAAAGCTGAAAATGGGAACTCCGTGGCTTTTTGATAAGTAACAGTCAAGCCCCATCTTAAGGAAAAATATTCAAGGGTTGATGTAAAAGGAATAGAATGTAACTCACAGTAAGGCACTATAAGAAGATGGCAACATATACTTGTCTATGGTTTCTAGGAGGTCAAAGAAGATCTACCTTGAAGACCTTCTGTGAAGTTTCTTGTCAAAATAACAGACTGATTCTGAAACTGTTCTCAGCTCACAAATCTTTAGAGAGCCTGACAACATGACAGATAAATTTACAAGAGTCAACAATAACCCTTCTAGAATTTCCAAGGAAGAAAGACCTAAATAGCTTTACTAAGTCCTATACCAGGTGGAGTTTTTAAAATTAATAAAACAAGAACAAATGAATCTCTGTATGGTAAACCGAACCATTGAATCAACAGTCAAACAAAAAATAAAATGATATGAATAGGCCAAGAATTAAAACGTAATGGAAGACGTGATGAGTTAATATTAAAGAGATTGAACCTAAAAAGGAGCTCCAAGATGCAAGGTAAACTAGTGGGCTAAGATTATCCTCAAAGTTTAAGTTAATGTAGTATGTGTTATGTGCATAAAGCCATCGATACATGCCAGAAGACTACCAGAAGGAATGAATATAAAAGTTGGCGATCACTTCAAACAAAATGATTCGGGTACGTTCAATCTAGTGCATTCTGGCCTTCACACATCCTCTCCACAAGCCCATCTAAAGAACAACCTTCTCCCCTTTGTTCAACCATTTTTTACCATTGGAGATAGATATTGTCAATGCTTTTGGATCCACGGCACTCGACTTAGAAGATTTTAGTCATTTGTCCTCCATCATTCTAGTATTTTAAACCATGAATTTGGTCAATAGTGAAAGTTGACATTATCGTTCACAATTTCAACGACTCCAAAGGTTAAGCACTTTTACTGACATATAACACGAATAGTAAAAAACTAACATAAAAAGGAGTAGAATGACTATATATGAGTTCTGATTAATTGCTTTTTGCTGTTTGTAAAGAATGAATTTCTGGAATACCGTGAGAGAGACGCTCAGTGTGATAAAAACTTATTAAATATTTGTCATAAAGTATTTCTTTTATAACCAAAAAAAAAAAAAGATGCAAAGTACCAATTCTAACTACAAACTATAGAAGCCAAATCTTCATTAGCACCAACTTAATTTGACCAAAGCACTTAGATAGACAGTTCCAGAAAATGACCATCACATTGTGTAAATATAAAGTTTTCCATTTATGAGAATCAAAATAAAAGTAAACATTCATTGATATTGACGTAACAACCTTCCTATAATATATAAATCATTCAAAACATAGAGAAACAAGTGTACCTTAGGCTGTAATAAGTCAGTGTATGTAATCAACACCTCTTCACTTTTCTGGATCGCCTTTATACTTCGAAGTACTATTCTCGGACCACATGATTCACTTCCTAACATCACCAAACAACAAATCCAAAGCAAAAACAAAATCGCATATTCTTTCTATCAAAAAATCTTCAAAAAGACCAAAAACTTTAGTAAAGAAAATGCAGTAGAACATTACCATTAATAATGGATTCACTTTCATTACCAGCAGCACCAGTCTCTGAAGCTGCTGGACATATTCTAAACTCCAATTCTCCACCAGAATCCAATGTTGTACAAAACTTGTAACAAGCATTTGGAGAACAGCTATGATTGATATACGAAAAGGCTAAATCATAAACACCAACTCCTAAACTTCTGCCATCCTTATCATGAACTTCCACCGAATTAGTCAGCACCAAGCAGAGCACTGCAGCTTCTACAGAATACTCCGCAGCTGATAACTCCACATTAGTATCCAAACCATCTCGAGTTCTTCTTGCAATAGCCATAGCCTTTGCCCCATCAAGAATTCTTCCAGAAAGTTCTTCTTCATTGTCATCGTTGTAGCACTGTTGTTCTTCCAAGAACATAATTTTTTTGAAATTTGTCATCAACCCACAAATTCTTTCCAAATTTGAGAAAGACCCACTTGCTTCCTGGAAGCGGTGGATGAGGCGGAGGGAGAGGCGGAGGTCGGTGGAAGTAGGGGAGGTGGTGAAAAGGGGTTCTGGGAAAAGGTGAAAGAAGTGAAATTCTGAAGAGGAGAAATGAAGAGGGGAGTCGTGAGAAGAGCATTGAAGGGAACAGTAGCGAATGAAGTGATTTGGGCTGGGATTATTTGTAGGGGAGAAAGGAGAAGAAGGGAGAGGAGAAAAGCAAGAAGAGCAGTGAGAGAGGAGAGTGGAATAGTGGAGGGAAAGAGAAAGGGGTGGGATTGGAGGATTGAGGTCTTGCCCTATGGGAATATCTTTTGTTGCTCGAACCTCCATTTTCAGCAGCTGCTACAGAGAAAGGCAGATGAAGTAGAAAATGTTATACTTACACTCTACTTTAATAGATTTTTTTAACTTTTTTGCTGTTCTATAATATTTAATTTTTTCAAATATTCAAAAATAATTAACTTCTTGTGAAGTTGCTTTGTAGCAAAGAGCCTAAAAATATTGTTTATATTTTTACAGGCGCCCAAGACAAGTTAAAGCAAAGCTTTAAGCCCCAAAAATATAGGACCCCAAATATATATATATATA